ACTTGCAGATTTCTTATACTTTTTCTTCTACCCTGAAGATGGGGGCAATACGTTCCTCCGAAACGTCGGTTAACACCACATATACACGGTGCCAAATCCCAGAAGACTGCTTTCTTCATAGTCACCGCCGTGAAAGCCTCAAATCTTACATATTTTAATATTGGTTTATAATAAATTGTGTTAGTGGTTCTCAATTATACCTTTAATATGTTGTAGCATGTAGACCCATTGCTAGATAATGGCCCATATGTCATGTCCATGGTGATGGCACGCAACAATAGAAAAGATGTTGCAAGCGGTGTTCTCTGTGGGCCCGCCTCTTAGGCTGTATGACACTCGAGTCACCGAGTTCAGTTCAGTTCAGTTCAGTTAGTGAGTGCAGTGCAGATGACTACAGTGGAGTGAATGAGTTAGTGGAGTCAAGTTGACAGGTGGGAGACACTTGCCAGTAAGTAGGGGCTAAGGAAGCTATGGCTTTGGAAGCCATTACCAGATGACTGGTGAAGACACAGCAGACTGAAAAGACTTAAGTGTGTGCTGTAGTGAATTGTAATGTGAATTAGTAATAATGCTATAGTTACTTATAGTTGTGTTCTGTAAAAGTTCATTAAATGCAAACCCCATCTATAGTCACACATACATGTGAAAATACTGTTTCCCTGGGAATGCACACAGTGTCTGCCTGGTGACCAAGAATTTATTTTCCCCCAAACTGGGTCAGTATGACAAGAAAAGTGAAGGAATATATAAAGGCTACTGTTTTGTTGTGATTTCAAAGGTGTTGTATAATGAGTTGGTTCATTATTAGATAGTACTCTCTACAGGAACCCTGAAGATTGATTTGGAAAACACTGATACCACATTTCAGCCTGTATTGGCAATACATAAATCACTGTTCATTTCAGGTTACATGAAGGAGGAGTTGAATCATTTCCATGCCATCTTTGTGAGAAGAAATTTGCATACAAGAGTACTCTTTACAAACACAAGCGTCGGACTCATGGTATAGACAATCCTCATATTCCTTGCAATACACCATATAGTGATACACAACTTTAGGAGTGCAAATGTTTTTTGCTTAACATCATAATTGAGGTGAATGCACCATTGCTTATTTTCTGATATGTATTCAATTTGTGGAATCTTCACATTATTTGGTATCCTACAAAAATTCTTATATAATGGGCTTCAGTCAAAGTGTTTTAATGTTTTAATTTTCTTTATTTATTGAAGCACAAGGAACTGTGATATTTGCTGTAGTGCTGGTGTAACAGTTGAATGCCAAGGACCTAAGTTTTTATCTACTCTTTACAACATCCCGAATTGTTCTCTGGCCCATGCAGTCTATCAGTCCATCCCTGAGGGTTCTTTCCCCAGGGCTCATCACTTAACCAATGTAATGTTGGTTGACAATACTGTTTGAAGCTTACATCCATATCTTCCACACTCTTTCATCACGTTGCATTTATGGACAGGTTTAATTTTACCTAATCAAAGTATGAGAATTATGGAAAGATACACACTTTGAACATCAAAATTTACATTTTAAAACATGAGATCAGAGTAATGAATTATGTAATTACATAAATTCAATAAAATATTTGATTGTACCATCTTTTTTTTTTCTTTCTTTCTTTTTTGTCATGACTCCATGTAAAACTGTACATATACAATTAGTAAACCCTATGGTGCAGACCTCCATGAGAAGCTAATGTGTAGTTGCCCAGCTACTGAAGAAATTCATTACTGTGTTCACAAGAGTCTGCCACTGGTCCCTGTCCTGAACCAGATGAATCCAGTCCAAACCCTCTCACCCTGGTTTTAAGATCCATTATAATATCCCCATCTATGTTCAGGTCTTCCAAGTAGCTTCTTTTGTTCAGGTTTTATGACAAAAATTTTGTATGCACTTTTTGTCATGGCTACATATGCTGCATACCTTGCCCATCATGTCCTCCTGATATGATCACTATGGCAATACTGGATGAAAAGTACAAATTGTGAAGCATCTTGCTGTATGATTTTCTCCATCCTGCAGATATCATTACCTTATACCCATACACCTTAAATCTGGGTTCTTCCCTTAATGTGAAAGGTCACATTTCACACCCATATAAAACAACATGAGATAAACTTGTACATAATTTTAGTCTCTATGTTTCTAGGTATCAGATGGAAAGACACTATATTTTAAACTTCATGGCAACAAACATTCCCTAAATTTCATATCTTCTTAATTTATTCAAGAAAACCGTTTTGATTTGTTACTATTTTACCGAGGCATACAATAGTGTAGTCATCATTTGCTTTCCATGCAATAAGGACAATTCTTAATGACGAGGCAGCATTACACAATTCATTAATTGCTACACCATGGGCCTCTCTTAAAATCTTCTATATAAAGTAATATCGAATTTCCCTATTGTCTATGGAAACGCAGACAAAGTATATCCAACGACTGATTCAATGTTTTTGAAAACATCTTTAATATTTTATCTTGTTATAATACTTCCAATTTTTAATTTTTATATAATCTGAACTTTTGTATTTTTTACATAAGCATTTTTAAATTTGTATGATTAATAGTGTTATATCCATTTTATGATTGCAGTTAAATGGTAGATTTTTGTTGATATGTATTTGCCTGATGATGGCCGATAGTGGCCAAAACATGTAGCAAAGCCACAGCTGAACGCTGACTTTGATGTTTTACTATTTGCTGTGTTGTGACAGTTCATTAAAGAGTTGTATAGTGTAGTTGGTTGAGAAACTGTGCTACAAGCCAGAAGGATGTGGGTTCAATTCTCAATGAGGTTACTGGATTTTTCAGTTGATCTAATCCTTTGAGTTGCACTGTCGTCCTGGGGTTGACTTGGTCACTAACAGAAATGAGTATCAGGAATCATTCTGGGGAGTAAATGGCAGCTGGTGCATAAGGTTGACAGCCTCATCACCATCTGTGAGCTGATTGTCCAAAAAATGTGGGATCTTCAAAGTCTCACAACCCTATGGATTTCCATAGCCTGTTACAGAGATAGCTTTACTATTTTTTTACTATCATACCAAAATGTGACATTTTTTATAATTCATTGGCCTGGTGGCACTTAACTGGGCCACTCTCAGGTCCCTCTGCTGGTCCCCTGGGCCAGATAAAATGGACTTCCTCTGTCATTGGAGCAGTGTCAGCCAGAACATTCAGTTTACCATGGAGATGGAAAGAAAAAGCAGCCTTCTTTTCATGGACATAACTGACAGGAGACCAGGTGGCTCTCAAACCTACCCATTCTAATCTGTGATTTTAACTCTAGTTCTCACCTCCACCCATCCAACTAGCATGCCATACTTTCCTTACTGGAGCACAGAGCCAGAGAACTCTCTGTGACGAGGACAGCCTGCCTGATGAAGGACATGTCGAGGCAGAACAGCTGCAGTGACAAGCTGATACACAGAGCTCTCATCCTTCCTGTTGTGGTTGGTCTGGGCTGACTTGCTTTCCTACCTTATGCTGGGTGAGTCTGCAACTGCAATAGCAGGGTGTTGTTCCAGCACAACAGCAGGTCAGATGGCCTCTTGCCTAGGAAAATCTCTCTCTATAGCTTTCTTTGGCCAGTCAAGGATAACTTTGGACAGATGACAGCAGGAGTGTACAACATCCCCTGTGAGTGTGCTCAGGTCTACACTGGACAGAGACACCAAAGTGAAGGAGCACCATCAGCATGTTTGGTTAGATCATTTGGACTATTCAACCTTGGCGGAGCACAGCATCAACTTGGGAGATCGCATCCAGCTCATAATACCAGCATCCTATCCACCAAACCTATGATCTGTACCATCAGGGAGGAGATTGAGATTGTGCTGCATTCCATTAATATGAACAGGGAAGATGGCTTTCACCTAAGCAAGTCTTGGAAATTTATCTTCTCCCTGAAAAATCATGGGAACCCTACCTCACAGGACTCTTTGGGCCCAGGTAAACAGCCCTTATTTGGTATCCATCAAACCCCGAGTCTTTCTTTGCTTTTCTAACTTCCTGTCCACTTATCTTGCTCTTCTTTTCCCATGCTGCGAGCTTACAGCAACCTAACCTGACTTCTCTCCTGCCCTCGTTTTTCAGCCTATCACAACTCCTCCCTCATGTTCCCATGTCTGAAAGTTGCAAAAGCAACCATTTTCAGAGCCTAGAGTAGTTACGCTTCTGTTGTTTCCTACTGGTTTGTCTCTCTGAGGGAGAGACAATGGAACCAGGCTTATTGGCTTGCAAGTTTCCTTCTATTGTATGTTAAGTCCTGCCCATGCTAGTTTCTTGCTTGATTTAGTTTGACCATGAAGATGGAGGCAATATGTTCATTTGAAATATCAGCTGTGTTTCAGTGAATACAAGGAGTTATATCCCAGGAGATACATACTTCTGTTTATAGTTTTGTTTTTCACCTAATTAACATCGTTGGCACAGACTAAAAGCTGATGTGTCCCAGTCAGTTCCAGTCTATTCTAGCTTCCTTGGACCTTCATAATGGCATATTCTAAAGTGAAGCTGAAAAGGAACAGCAGCAAGAATTTCTTGAGGAATTCTGTTTCATGGGATATAATGCAGTATAGTCTGTTGAAAAACAACTGACATTTTGAAGGAACAGTTGCCTGCATCTTAAGGTTGAAGAATAAGCCAAGCAAGAAACCAACATCAAAGCAGGAGGCAAGCAAAGCCTGCTTTCATGCTGATTTCTTGCTTGGTTTATGACCATGAAGCTGGAGATGCCATGTTCCTCTGAAATGTCAGTTGATTTTCAGCAGACTACATGGCATATCACAGAAGATGGAACTGCTCATAACCATCACTGTGAGAGCCTCATATCCAACAGGTCTTTTTTGAGATCATTCTGAATAGGAAATACATCAGACAAGTGTTTTATATATACTGAAATTACTATAGGTTTCATTTAACGTTGGAAGACCAACGTTTTTTGCCGACGATACTAGTATTCTTATAACAGGAAATAGTGCTAACGATGTCCAAACGAAAATACAGTCAACTCTCGATTATCCAGGGGCGGATTAACCGGTTTGCAGCTTAACCGGGACTACTGAGGCTTTTTTGAGGCTTATATGTTTAATATTCATTCACTTTTGTTTCACATGGCAAGTTGTAACACTATTTCCGCACTAGTGTGAATCGAGCTCTGCATTCTTNTGACTGTAAATAAAACAATAAATGCACTCACAGAGTGGTTTGAAAGGAATATATTGATTAATAATAAAGAGAAAACAATAGCAATACCCTTTCATCAACCTCAAAAAGTACAAGTCGAATGCCTATCAATAAAGCTCTATGATACAGTCATCAGTTATACAGAACATACAAAACTTTTGGGAGTTTGGTTGGATAAGAATCTAAGGTGGACTGCACATACTCAACAACCAGCAAATAAATTATGTAAAATATGTTTTGCTTACGAGTAGTCAAAAGAATATCAGGGTTAGAGACTGTTCGCACCTTATATTATGCTTATTTTCAATCCTTGTTATTATATGGACTGATATTTTGGGGCAATTCAGGAAATGCAAAATTGATCTTTAGGTTGCAGAAGAGAGCTATTAGAGCTATGATACAAATCGCGAAAACCATTAGTTGTAAACAATATTTTAAATCGTTCCATGTATTACCTTTACCATGTCTGTATATATATGAAATTCTAGTTTACATAAAAACCAATTTGAATGTTTTCATAACCAATTCAGGAATACACTCGCACAGTACAAGGAGAAAAATGACTTGTTCATAGTGCCATGTAATACGAGTCTATACAAAAACAGTTTAAATAATATTGGACTTTGTATGTTAAATCAGTTGCCACAATAAAAGAGATACCAGTACTATACAAGTTTAAAAAGACTTTGAAGACATTCCTACTTGATCACTGTTTCTATAGTATAGAAAAGTTTCTCTTGTTTGGGGACAAATCCTAGTTCTAATTACTTGTAAACATATATTTTAAGAATAATTAACTTGTAAATTTTAATATTAGTAATGCTATAGGAATGCCTACTGCCCTACTCTGTATTCTTTCTTACAGGAACGAAATCGAGGACACCAGGGTATTCTGTGCCGGGATAGAAGGATCAGGTCTTGAGGCATACAGCGGTGTCGAGTGTTAAACGATTATAATAGTTCTATTACTAAATTCATCATTGTATTATCTTAGTATATTATTATATCATTATTTATTATTGTAAAGTATTTGACTTGTCCTATATCATGTGTAATGGTCCATGGATATGAAGTAAATAAATAAATAACACATTAATTAGCCTAACAAGTTTCAGGGGTACACTGGATTCAGTGAGAATATTATGAGCTATGTTCGAATTCAAGATGTATTTCTGAATCAATATGTGCCTTACCTTCCTACTCAGCTTGTTGCTCTCCCATACTTCTGCTTCCCTGCACTGAGCCGTGCATTGGCATTTGTGATTTGGACTTGAGCAGAACATTATCAGAGACCTGGAGCAGGTGATCACAGTGCGGATTTTGAACATGGAAATCGTCTAGGTGGTGTATGCTAAGTCTGGTTTAAATTTTACTGTTAGACTCATATTCGGAGTATCCTGTTATTTCAATTAATTGACCAGCTTCTGTTTCTACTCATAGTATTTTACTTGTGTTTATTACATTTCAAATGTATTTTCTGCAAGCCTAAGGCTGTTATTTTTCCAGCTGTATTAGCAGACTACAATAGTTACAAAATTTACAGCCTTAACTACAGGTCTTGCAACATATGTACATGGGACTAACCATTTTTTTTTCTTCTCTCTTTTGTCTGTAGTGTCTCATTGCAGTTGTCTTTACTGTTATCCTTCATTGGTATGATTGTAAGTAGTGATCACAGATTGAAGTGAAGTGGATAGGAATAGATGGTGGTTGCTCCCCTGTTACTCCCTGTTCAATACTTGAAGATTACCGTCTTCTCAATGCGATGCCACGCAGGGCAGTACAACCAGCATTTTGGAGGAACATTATGCCTCAGTCTTCTTCCCAGAAGATTGTGTGACAACTTCTAGTGTTGGATAATACCAAGTTTTGTCACACTTATGTTGTTGATTTGAGATTTTAGAGGAGAAAAATGTGTGTCCTTGTCAATCCATTTGACATTGTTCATAACTTGTGACTCAATCAAATATACTGAAGATTTAATATATATATAAGTAAGCAACGCTATCCCTGTAACAGGCCATGAAGGCCCATAGGGTTGTGAGATGTTGAGGGTCTCACATTATCTAGACAATCAGCTCAAACATGGCGGTAATGTTGTCAGCCTTACACGCTGGCTGCACTTTACTCCCCAGGAAAATTATTTAATAAATTCCTGGTACTGATTTCTGTTACAGGCTGAGTCGACCCCAGGGCCATAATGCGGCTCGAAGAATTAGGCAAATTCAAAAAATCCAATGACCTCATCGGGACTTGAACCCATGACCTTCCAGCTTGTAGCATAGTGCCTCAACCAACTATGATACTGCATGCCCCCAATATATGAGGTAAAAGATAAAGTTTTCCCTATGCTTAACTAATTAAGCACTATGCCATGAAGGTGTATGGGGGAGTAGATGTAGAGATCCATTATCTTGAACTCGGCACTAGCCGGAGGCAAGTTGTCAGCTTCATGCTCCGGCCGCTTTACCCCTGGGGAAAGAGCCCCTGGTACCCATTTAGACAGGAAGTTGAGTGGACCTCAGAGCTGGTCTGGACAACATGGAAAAGAGAAAATTCTTGACTACTGGGACTCAAACTCTGATCCCTTGGTCATGTAGCCTGTAGCCAGTCACTATACTGACAATGCTATCCTGGCTCCTTAATATATGAGGTACTTCCTAATTTGTAATGTTTGCCAGATGCTCCAAAAACAAACTCAATGGCCTGTAGTCTGCAAGTGAATTATACAGACCAAGGGACCGCTGCTTGTCAGCAAAGTTAGTGCCAACTTTAGTGCACAGAGGGTGCCACGTGATCAGCGCAATGAACTCCCACATCCGTTAACCTCAGTTTTCTGGACCAGAGCCACTATTTCATTGAAATAGCTCTTCAATTATCCTCACAAGGCTGAGTGAGGTACTAAAGTAAAGTAAAAGTATCCCTGTAACAGGCTGTGGAGGCCCATAGGGTTATGAGATGTTGAGGTTCCCACATTTTCTAGACAATCATCTCATAGATGGCAGCAAGGTTGTCAGCCCTTCGCGCCGGCTGCCCTTTACCCCCAAGAATATTCCTGGTACTCATTTCTGTTAGAGGCTGAGATGACCCCAGGGCCACAGTGCAGCTGGAAGGATTTGGTCAATTGGAAAAAAATCCAATGACCTCATAGGGATTTGAACTATGGTGATAAAATCAAAGAGGATAAGATGTACAGGACACGTAAAACATAAATGCTTACAAAATTATATTTAGAAAACGTGAAGTGACTACTTGGGAGACCTAAGCATAGGCTGGAGGATAATATTAAAATTGATTTTTCAAAGAACAGGGTGTGAACTGTAATACTAGAGAATAGTGTCCAGTGCCAAGCTGCCAATTCAGGGTAATATTGCTACATATGAACTCACACACAGGCTTCCTTTCACCCAGTATTTTAAGCAGCCTTCTGTCCCACTCCTTGGAATTGGAAAACAAAAGTTACCAAAATGTACACATTGCTGGTGTAACATAGCCTCAGAGCCATCTCAGTAATAGTAAATGCACATTTGGTTGCAAGAATCATGCCTCAGTACTTACTTCAATGTGTGAAATTAAAAATGCTGACTCTTTCACACTTCACCCTATCAAATGTGATGTATCTTGTAAAAGCGGAGGGTGAAATGAAGTTCCATTTTTCCTGCTTACTCAACTAAAAGGCAAATCACATTTTATTCTTTTACCTGTGTTTGCTATACAAGATGCTTACTGGCAAATCCATGTTATAGAGGGACTGAATATAAATGATATTGGTCTTAGCAAATCTGGTCCATAACAACTGGCTGCCACAAAAATTTTCAATTTTATGTACTTCATATATTTAGACCACACATATATTACAAACATGACATAAGGTTATCATCCTATTTCTGCCCCAAATAAAGGGAAGTATGCCTATACTAACAAATTCTTCCTGCCAAGAGTATGAATGGCTGAATGACAATTAGGACCATTCCTAATCCGCATTAAGGAATAATCATAGTTGCAGCAAAATCAAAATATTTTTGAGAAAACAATAAAGTTATTGCTTAGTAAAAATAATGTAGCTATATGACACACAAAGAGATGCATATTTATTTACCAATTTTTAAAATGAAACAGTAGGCTGTATTTCTCAATCATTCTAAATTCTAACTGAAATAAACTGCAAGCATATCAGATTGCCAATCTTTACAGGGTTTGTTCACAGAAAACATTCTCCACATTGAAGCTCAAGCTGAGAAGCTTCTTCATAGTCACAAAAGGTGTACTGGCATAATAAAGACAAAATTATTTTCAAAAGCTATACAGAATTTGTAGACATCCTGTGTATCAAGCAGCAAAGTCCAGCAGTCCCTCACCAACAGTGGATTTGAAGTAGCCGTGATTTTAAATTTATTCTGGGCTGGATATCTGCAGTTTGATTAGTATATACACAGAGAAGGTAGATTTCACATCTCCTGTGGAACACTCTTGTGGCATCTGAAATCAGTTTTCTAGATTACCAATTACTGTAGTGTTCTTTTTTCTTACTTTTTAATTTTTATACTATTTTCAAACATCTGTTATATATCTTTCATGTTAGGCTTTGAAGACAGTCAACAGTAGATGCAGTTCCTCCAGTCCCTGACTCCCCATTAAGTCACTGGCTTCACAAATTACAGTGTTCATCAGGAACATAACTCCTGAAGTTGGCAAGGGCCTGCTGTACTACAAACAAGTTAATTTACTAAAAATATTATATTTTCTATGTTGCAGTGGTTAAGTCAGAATTGGCATTAAAACCTCTTTCTGACTCTGCAACTGGAAATACTGGCATTCGTGGCTCTTCTGTAACATCTTCTGCAGGTGGTAATTTATCACTGATATATGTACTCCAGTGATGAATAACGCATTTTACAGGCACTTTTTCTGTATTGTTTATAGTCACTGTAACCTTGAAGAATTTATTCTCTATCTCCATATTGGGACCACATATTGGTTCCTCTGGCAATGAAATGGCATCTTCAGGGATGTGAACACCAGCTCTCCGGAATGACATTCTTATGTGCCAAGGCTCAACTGTCCAAGGTATGTCCTTGTTCATTAAAACTATAACATTCATATTTTGCAAAATGCTTATCGTTTTCTCAACAAATGGTGAACTATATTTCGGTTTGTGTTCATCATCTTTGAGATGAGAAAATTTCTGGACGTTTTCTGGCGAAGCATATACAGCAAATCCAGGTAGTAACAATTTGTGATATGCTGTGTCCTGTTTCATAATTATCCGATCTCCACGATTTCCAATGCCTGTTACAAAATCTGTCAATATAACCTCCAACTCCTTCTTCTTTCGCGTGTCCGTATCTTCTACAAGATCGTAAACGAAGTGTCGAGCTCGCAATCTCTTGGCCGATGGATCACGCCACTTCTTCACCAGGCCCGGTGGCCATCTTCGCTTCAAAATAAATGTTGTTCTGACTTGTTGGTGTAATAAATTCTGATCTGGATAGCCCAAAACGCGACAACTCGAACACCTTAATTGTACTGTTGATCTCAGTAATTGTCCCCACATATTCTCAGTTCCCCAAGACTCTGCTCAGTGCACGATCAACACCAACAGTTCTTTGCGTTTTCAGTCATATAAAATTGTACACAACACAAGATTAACGCACGTTTTCGTCGATTTCCTCCCACCATTCGTCTCCTCCACTCAACGTCGACAACGAACCCCGTCAACTTCACTATGGTTGGAAATTACGATACATTCGATTCGATAGTTACATCCTGCAATCTAATTAGAATTCGATAGCGTACATCAACAAGCAGGTTTGCCAGGCTAGTTCAGTGAAATCTGCGGACGTGCAATATCTATATCCGTGTATGTGTGTATGTGTGTGTGTGTGTGTGTAAGAGTATAAGAGAGAGCCCAGATTATTCAGAATAACTATCGAACAGCCTGACAACTGTGATCGTTAAGTTGCTGTGTTCTGAGACTTCTGAGATGTATCGTTGTGTAATTTGTATGAGATACCAAACATGAGGCTGAAAGTGCTGTCACTGTTAGAAATAGGTTCTCAGTGGCTGGGATTATGACGTTGTTGTCTAGGATATAACGGATATAACGCTGTGTAGTCCGGTTCTCCGGATGGTGGAGGAAAGTTCCTGCACACTGTTCTCTGCCCCCTCTGGGCGCCCATCAAGTTAAGCCTTCCATCATCTTCTGGCCTTCCTCTGCCATTCTCACTCCGCCGTATGTCTACGACCCACGCATACGACTTCTATCCCAACCTCCTTAGCTCCTTAGTTCTCTGCTCGTCAACACACGACATCTGCAAAAACGGCTGAGGGATCTGAGGGCTGACACTAGTTACCTTTGTTTGTGTCCTATTGTTTTTCAAAGGTAGCCAATAGCAACTGAGGAATGGTCTTTAGCGAATTGCTTTGCTTGCGCCCTGCTTCCGGCTTGTCTCTTCGCTTGGCTTATGATCCTTATGATCATCGGAAACATCGGTTGTCTTTCACCGAATTACATGGTGTTATGTCCCAGAAAATAGAACTCTGTAGGTACTTATTACTTCCCGGTATTTCCAACGACGAAATTTGTAAAATCTGGCAATCTTGCCACACAATCAGTTTCTATGGCAACATTGATCCTACACAAATATGGGACCTCTGATGAGAAATTCGGAAACTTCGCTTCATTGGGAGAAGACCAACATGGCCGCATGTTAGTCTCTGCTTTTCTTTACTGTTTGCCAATGTTTTGAAAGGTTTTAAAGTAAGTTAGGAAACCATCTTTTTCATCTCAACCACGAAAATAAATTTTCTGAGAGGGTTGAAGTGAAACAGAATCGTGAATAGGTGTGTATAACAGAGCAGGGTTTCTCATTTCCATTTGGAGGTGGAACCGGTTCGTCATTTTGCATACTTTGGTGCCGCCCAAAAGTTTCCGCAGTCATAGTGATATAAAAGCTTTTTTCTTGTTTCCAGTTATCACCTATTGCAGTTAATTCAGAACGCAATGTTGCATCACCAGCATTCAATGGCGATGCCGGCTAACCAGCATAGAGATGCTAGGTTTGTAATATTTTCTAGTTTGTAATAATGTGAACAGTCGTACTATGAAGACCGTTTTATGTTTTTAATTAATCTCTAAGAGGCTGGCCCGTTGCTTGCCAATGCGATTGTAACCAGTAAATTAGATTTAGAGTGAAGAATAGTGTGTGCGAAGAGCATATATACTATGGTAGTGTAATAGGTGAGAATGTTGTGTGTTGTTTCGTTTCATTTTCATGTATCTTGGTTCATGGTACATGAAGATAACAAAAGATCACATTATTGATACTGAAATTAAATGTATTGTTGCATGTCAAGTATCTTCATAATACATAGACATTCATCCCTTAATTTGTGGCTTTAATAGTGCCTGTTAGAGCAAGACATTGTCCATTAGTTAGCTCCTCCTGGTTTGGAAAATGTCTCCGTAATGCACGATCTAGTGGAAGTTAATGCACTTTCAGAAAGGGTTTCAGTGAAACTATTTTTGTTAGCTGGTATATGAAAATTATGTCCACATTCATTCATTCATTCATTCATTGTATATTCCATAAATCCATATACATAGATATAGAACCAGTCACATAATTAATATACAGAGTGTCCCAACCTGTGGTCCGCGGACCCCTGGGGGTCCGCGAGTAATTCAAAAGGGGTCCGCGGGATAGTTTATTTTCATTAAACTTTATCTTATCATGTTCCTCACACCTGGGATATTTGCAGTGTATATCTCTGGCTCTTGAGGCCCATGGTTGAAGTAAAATTTAACGGGACTGTTGGTACCGTAACGGTACCTTCCCTTTGTAAAGCAGAGATGAATAACCAACGATCTGTGTAGCTTTTTCCAAGGACATTTTCTTTTGGTCGGCCCATTGCATCTCAGACCCGTGTTTCAGGGTGGACTGCTGTACTAGTACCTGCTGTCCGACCATTCTCCCCTCCTCCCCCACCAGATCCATCCCTCTTTGGTTGGGAATAAACCTGGGACCATTGAGCACGTTTCTTATTCATTTCAGTGGCAGAGCGAACAACCCGTGTTCCTTTAGTTTTTGTGCAGTGAATTTTTATAATATTATACAAGTGTGTTTTTCTCGGTGTAATATTCAGTTTTTCTGGTTTTGTTCAAATAATTGAGTTCACAACGAAACTTCTGATTTTCAGTTTGTTCATGATCTTATTTAGATATGGATCGGTGGTTAAAGTGTGGATCATTGAAACGTAAGACAGACGATAATCCGAGTGGATCTAGTGTTGTCGAAAATAGTACCAGGGCAGATAAAGTTCCTTCCCTCAAAAAATCACGCAAATATTGTCCATCTTATTTGCAAATGGGATTTTCCGTTCTGAATAAAGACGGCGAAGACAGACCACAGTGTGTTCTTTGTTGCGAAGTGTTATCGAATGAATCTATGAAGCCGTCGAAGTTGAGACGCCACCTTGAAACGAAACATGGCGAATCAGTTAATAAGCCAATAGAATATTTTCAAAATAAGAAACTGCAACTTTGTGGTTCACAGAATTTAGTTAAGGACATTGTATGTGGAACGAAAAATGAAAAGGCTGTTCTTGCCTCTTACGAAGTTGCCCTTCTGATCGCTAGAAATGGACAACGCCATACAATCGGGGAAGATTTAATTTTGCCTGCTACAGAAACCATAAGAAAGAACTTGTTTAGTGAAAGACATGCCAACGAGGTGTCTCTAATATCGTTATCTGACAATACTGTGAAAAGAAGAATCGACGAGATGGCTCAAAATGTGAAAGATATTTTGCTAGAACGGTTACGTCATACTGAATATTTTGCATTGCAGTTGGATGAAAGCCACGATATTTCAAATAATGTTAATTTGGTAGCTTTGGTGCGATATGAACACGAAAATAAAGTTTGTGAAGATTTTTTGTTCTGTGAATCGTTACCTCTTAATACAACTGCTGAAGCCCTTTTCAAAGTTGTCAATGACTTCATAACTACAAATACACTTCAATGGGAAAAATGTGTAGGTATCAGCACAGATGGTGCTCAGGCAATGTCGGGAATACATAATGGTTTGGTCGCACGTATCCAGAAAGTCGCACCTCTTGTTAAATGGACACATTGTTGCATACACCGCGAAGTATTAGCTGCACGCCGCCGTATGCCCTCCAAAATGAAAATTGTTCTAGACGAGGCAGTAAAAATTGTCAATTTTATTAAAGCCCGTCCTCTTAACAGCCGATTATTTTCTGTGCTTTGTAATGAAATGGGAAGTGATCATGAACACTTATTATTGCACTCAGAAATCCGATGGCTGTCCCGGG